CTCACAAAGTAAGAGACTTCCACCTAACTAACCCAACTCGACCTGGCCCGCCAGCTCGCTTATATGACTGGTTAAGTGCTTGGGAAGGTGGAAGGGACGATTATGATGATTAAGATGGTAACTTAATTATGGATACTCGGTCGAGGACGACCTTCTTTAAGAGGGGGGGTACTGTTACGGAGTTGGAGGAACTAGGGGTTGATCACGTGTAGCGCAGCATGTAGTATGTGTCACGTGCGCGCTGCTGGCATCCTGTATTTAAGCTCTCGTTCCTCTGGATCTCTCTTCCTTCCTCACTTTGTTGTTCGCTCAATACAGCAGTTTCCGTTTGACTCCGTATTCATCACAGCAAGCAGTGGTTCACTCCACACGGTTACACTATCCTAGAGCTTTCTACGCTAATAATAGTCTATAGCTAGCTTAATTACCTAGTTATAGGTAGGGCTAATACTAGAGAAAGGATTATATAAAGCCTCCCTATTATCGTTATGTTTATATAATAAGACTAAAGATACTCTAGATACTCTAGTAAAGGGTACCTTATTAAGATTATCGATTAATCTATTAAATTCGAAGGATTCTACTAAAGGTACTCTAGGTACTTTAATCTTATTACCCTTAAGTTTGTCTCTAGTCTTAATAGTACTTACTAGCTTAGCAACGCTATTAATTTAGTCTCTTACGCGTTCTTTAATATTACTAAGTTATTTAATATCCTTTATATTCTAACGTCTCTAAGTATTAAGACAAGCTTATTATTCTATATCTATATTTTTATCTAAACTATATTCTATTAGTAGATAGTTCTCTTTACCTTCAGGAGGTAGAAGACTATCTAGATTACTAGTAGTAGTATCTACTATCTTTTAGAAAGATAATATAAGTACTTTGCTATCTCTAGTATCTATAGTATACTTTTAGAAGGTAGTATAGTTATATTCTAGTGTTTTATAGTAGTAGAGTTATTAAGTACTTTTAGCCTGTTTATAGTATAAATAGCTATAGATACTTCGTAAACAAAGTCTTAAAAGTATTATAAGTCTCTAATCTATACGCGCGTAACACTAATTAGTATTAGTTTAACTTATTATTAAATATAAGGTATAATATAGGAAGAGGCTAAACCTTAGTATTAGACTATTCCTATTATTAATGTATACCGAGTCAAAGGTATAGAAGTCGTACCGCTATAATATAGGCAGGACTAGCCTGGTCAGGTGGTCTATGCTACCGAGTATATTTACTCGGATATTATAGCGATAATTAGATGTATATCTATTTGCACTTCTTTTTAGATATACACCACCAAAATAAAGATGTAAAAGTTATGAGACCTAAAACCCCAACGATTTCTTACTATATGCACGCTCGCATATCGTTCGACTTCACGTACTTCTACGTACCCCCTACCCCCCCTCCACCATCCCCACCCCCTGTATTACACCTTTACGTTATACCTATAAAATAGCCGAATTTTGATATTTATTATTAGTATAGAAGGGAACGATTTCTTTATTATATTAGTACCTTCCCTGGGTGTCCGCCGGGAGGGGGGGTTATATAGCGCAAAATCGAAGGATATATAACGAAACAAAAAACAACTTATGCGACGAGCCAAACAGTAGTGTATTTATTTCTTTGGATTAGTACAAATTGTATACAAGACCAGAAAGATATGTACGGGGTCTTGGGGTCATAGAAAAAGTGGCAAGGTTTAGAATTTACACCTAATATGCACGCCCGACTTATGGGAGCCAAACAGGCCCTTAATCTATTGGTACCAATTTATAAAGAGGCACGAAAATTTATAGAAGTTAGGCTGATGGTTTTCTACTAGTCGTAGAGTAACAAGGCTGCATGAATATTTGTTCTTACTCACAGTTCTGGCATATGGATAACACATTTAGGGGGACAACTCAATATTATTTTATGGAACCATGTGTATCTGTTTTAGGAAACAGAAAACAAAGGAACGAGTTACTAAGAGTAGAAAGTTAATGACAAACATCAAGCCCTTACCCCCGATGCAAGACGCGATACATATGCATATCAAATCCATCCCCCCAAACACCCATCCCCAAGCTACGCATCATCATCATCCTCATCCCCTACCTCAGCTGGACCTTGACCAAGCTGATAATCCCATCTTTCACCCTCATAATCATAGAATTGGTTCTTCGCCTCCTCCACTTCTCCCCATTGCTTCTCCAAGATTTCAAAAGCCCGTCTCAACTTCGAAACACCACGTTCCAAAGTAAGTGACGACACCTGTCGCAAGAGCTTTTCATGCCCAAGGTTTTGCTTGATTCCCTTCAACACCTCTCGAACTCGTGATTTCTCACGATCGGCACCTCCAATGTAGTATCTGAAAAAGGCATTGGAGTATTCCTGGACATAATTCTGAGCACGGTGCCATCTGCGGTCACTATATTGTTGGCCGAAGAATATCATAGAGTCGAACCAGCGTGGCTGGTTTTCTCTAGCGGCGCTGATTTCACGATAATGAGCGAAGAGGTAGTTGGTAACGGTGGTAATCTCGTGCTCAAAAGCTGTGTGGTTGGCATTACGGTTTTGTATTCTGGCCCGTCGGAGTGCTGCAGTGGCTTCTGTCTTCGATAGAGAGTCCAATCCCTTTTGGGCTAGTCCCAGATTGCTCTGGTAGTCAATTTCATTATCACTGTGTTCGATTGCTCCATCCTCGTTTACAGCCATCGAACACTTGATAGAAACATCCATTTCAAAAGCTTGATGGAAGCTGAGGCAGTTAAGCAATACTTTGGCAGGAGAACGACGCGGAGAGTCTCCCAGACACCAAGCCATGATGCACGACGACTGTTTGTAGTTTTCCAATGCCAATTCGCTCTGAACCACATTTCCGTCATAGTGTCGGACGTACAAATTTCTCTTGGGAAATTGAGACGATTCCTCTGACGTTGCAATTCTGACAATGAGTGATGATAATCTCAAATAAGTGAAATGATCAAGTACTTGCCCAAGTTCTGTCTGGTATTGCGCCATGTTCCTAGTTGGTTCCTTTGGATCAACCATGGTCTCAATATGTAATTTGCACTTAGTATCCCACAAAGATAAAGCGTGACAAAAACTGATGATTCCCGCATTTCTGGGGGGCTGGACGTCATCTGCACGAATGAAGATTAACCAGCGACGAATCTTTGAAAGACGACTCAGAATCTTGGAGTCCGTATAGTTGTTTGCCATCCAAGGACGTTGTGAAGGCCAACCTGCGATGGCAGCGCAACTGATCGAATGTTGTCTGTGTGCAGTTTCTCCGGGGTTATGAAAAGCAGCGATGAAGACATTTTTCTCGTAGAAAAGCTTATAGATCTCATGGTGATCTTCTTCGCCTGCGACTTGGAGGGTTGCGAGAAGAGTCTGGTTCTTGTGAAGTGATTCGCTCTCTCTGAGACTAGATGCCTCGGCAAGGGAAGGGATATTGAGAGAATTGGCATAAATGATATGTCGAATTTCTGCTGGAAGTTTTCTGAAGGCTACATTTTGTGGTTGTTGATTAGATGGTGGTTGAGAAGATCCCGAAGATGGTAAAGGCATAAACTGGCCATGCGAATTATTATTATTCTGCAAAAATTGAGGAACAATCACTTGGTTGGGTGCAACAGGCGTGCGTTGATAGACCTCTCGCTGGTACTGTAGACTTTGCTGGTTCTGTAAATTTTGTAAGAAGAACGACTGCATCTGGAAGAACTTCCCCTGAATGAGTGAGTCGAATAGAGTCAGTGAGACTTCTCCAGAGAGGGTGTATCGGATGGCGGGAACTCGGACGTTGTCGCGGAATATATTTGATACATATTGTCTATATTCATTCTGTTGTATGGCCGATGCTTCAGGATAATTAATTGCATAATAATCCATAAGTTCTACTACCAACTCATGAATCTTATTGCTAAGAGACACATGGTCCTTGAAATGGTATGTTTGCGGATCCATCGTGGCACTTGTACTATAATCAGTCTCTATTCTCCAAGAATAAATAGGTAATATAAAAAGATCTCGATAAACTTACGCAAAATGGCTGACCAACTTCTTGGGTTCTGATTGTAGTATGCAATAGAAAGCCAGTATCAAATCGAGATCTGTAAAATTGTAAGTAAAGGTCATCAACACAAAAACCACCTGAGAACTAGAAAAGTATAACAACTTACCAGATCCCAAGACTGTCTCCAACTGCAGTGACCAGCTATCGAGACAGTGAAACTCAGTTCTCCCCAAACCATAAACAAAGCACACAAAGAATATCTTAGCAGTATCGAAGAGCCTCAATGGCTTTGTGTGGGTAGAAGATATCCTTTTACTAAGCACCCACAAGATAGGTATCTCGAAAAAGTCAAAGTCTCGGAAGTTGGTTAGAAGATAAGGTTAGTCCAGGACCTAGAATATATACCTGGGGGGTATCTGTGATCGTTACACAAACTGGTTGAAGCTCCGTTCAAGGCACCATACCATTTTTGGAAACTCCACATACGATCAGTACTTCACTATTAGTTCGTATGTTTTCTGGTTTGATATTAGTCATGATAGAGCTAGTGTAACCGAGTTACTATAGAGTGTATAGAGGTAAGAAGGGTATATTGCCTATTTTGGAAACTCCATATGTACTTCACTATTCGTTCGTATATCTTCTTGTTGATATGAATCATAATAGACCCTAGTATAGCTAACCTGGTATGGATATGAGAAGAGATCCTTGCCTGCTATAGTGGAAAACGTTGGCAAGTACTGGGGTCTTGGGGGGTTGTAATACCCATAATGAATTCCGCATTCAATGTTTATATGTAGGATGCATTTATATTCACCTAATTCTCCTCTATAGAAAAGAAGTAAAGACTTTATTTACAAATTGACTCGATTCAATACACGCTTCAAAGAAACAATAATTCCTGTATTATAAACCTTGGTACCTATTCTCCCGATATTTATATTGTTCTAATCCAAAAGTGAAGCTAAATTCTCCAAGAAACGTGATAAAACCTTTCACTTTGTTCTTACCACCTTTCATCAAACTCCACCCAATTCCTTTCCTTTCCTTAACCCGAACTCACCTAAACATACTCACTTCCTCAAGTCATAATTGTCGCAAGCTCCCCCTAATCAAAATATTTATCATCTACATAATCTAAACCATCCCCAGAAACAACCCATCATTTCCCAACTTCCACCCAAGTCTCGTGACTTAAGTAATCTTCAACATTAACAACAAAGAACCCCCCATAGCAAATTAAACACCGTACCCGAAAATATCTCAAAAGAGAACCACGTACAATAAATTGTAACCAAACTCCTAACCCACTCATTTAATTAACAAAGAATCTCTGACTCGAACATCACTCACTCGACCTCAACTCCATAGGTGTTGAAAAAGTCATACGAAGTAAACATACATTGCCGTCATATAATATCGAATCATTACCACTAATTAAGCAGCTCCGCTCGTTCAAGTCTAGCTCGCTCCTTTAGGACTAGCGTACAATAACAAGGGATGTTTTCATACCACGTGAGGACAAACAACCGACAAGAGCTAGCGGGCGGTAGGTAGCAGGAATTATCAACAACTTCATATTTCCTGCCTGAGAGCAGGAAGCGGCTCTCTTTTTCCCACCCACCGCCATCCCTACCCGCACACCATCATTTGTATCCCTACTATTGTCTCTACTGCTGTAACTGATGAAGCAAGTGGTCATGTGACCAGATTATGTCATACCAGCCACTATATAAGCCAGTTCTCCTTCAGAGTTCTAGCGAAATTAACCATCACCTTAATATATTCTTTTATATCTTCAGCATCAATTTCACCTTACTGTCTCAGTAACCAGCCTTTTTGTTCCGCTGCTTTCAGACTAGGCAGCATCTTCTAGTATACTTTAACACTAGTCTATATATTAGCGAACTTTGTAAAGTACGTATACTAGCTTTAAGAAATCCAACCTCTTGTCCCAAACATCCTCCATTAAATAACAAACTATAAAAAAGCGTATCGCGGAACTAGAAACTTAGCCTTCCATACTCGGTATAGAAAAGTATATGACTAGTATATATATATAACCCACATTCCATCCCTTCTTCCCACTTATTATAACCCCCTCCCCATTTAGGAACAAATTACAGTAACCATTACAATCCAACTCTTCAAATCCATCTACCGTAAAAAACCACATCATATCAACAATAAGTAAACTACCTGCCAAAGACCTACAGTACATCTGGGACATACTGTACCTACCATAGTGACATCACAGATCTCAACCTAATATATACCTACCCATCAAAAGGCATCATCTCACCTATATAAATTACAATCCCACTAATTATCTTATCAATTTATCCGGCCTGTCGATCACTCTACAACTCCCCTCGTATCCGTTTCCATCGGGATGAGATCTAGTATCCAATTTCAATTCCAAGGTTCTTGTTATACCTAAGATTAGTAACTAGTAGTTTAAGGGTAGAAAATTCCTGAACATAGCATAGTATCCCACGTAGCAAGACCCCCCGGCCCTCACCGAGACAACACCAAGTATACATACCACCTGCACCCCAAACACACACCCTTCAATACTCCCATTCCCCATCTATTTTCCCCATCATTCCAACACATCACAATATCCCATCGATCCTATCCATAATCCATCAATCCACTCATCCCACATCTCATCCCATCTACCTATATAACAACCCCCTCGCACGGAACTTAATCAGAGAAAAGGCAGAAAAAGCACACGATTAAAAAAAAACGAAAAACGAGATTTCTTTTCCCAATCAAAGAGAAGATTGACAGTAATATAGGAGCGAGAAATATACACAAGCACATGAAGTAACTCTCTCAAATCATTGGAAATCCAAAGAATAAACAACACATAAAGTAAGTCTGCTCGGTCTTAGTAATGGAAACCCAATTTCATTGATCGCCCCGCTCTAGAGGGGTTCATTACTAGAGAGACAGCCATGCGATTTTCCCTTTCCAAAAAAAATCAAAAAAAAAAATCATCATCAAACCCATTAATTAGGTCCCAGCCCAACATTAAAACCGTAAAATGCTTGCTTGGGGTTTTATTATCATCCTTTTTTCATCCCTTTTCCACCTTCCAAGCCCACCAAGCCGCTGCACCCGCAGGAAAAACGCCAAACATAAAAAGCCAACCGATCGCATCCGTTCCCACAATCCCGGTATGTTCCAGGGTCCAAAAAAGGAGACTGCTTCCTACAGCCGCGACAATCTGTGGCGCCGAGATGGCCAAGTTGTGTAAGCCCAAAATAAGCGCCGTCTGCGAGTCATCCTGGCTCCCAGATAACGACGGCGCTTTCTCAAGATCAAAAGTATCGTCCGAGTCTCGTAGAGGGACGTATCGTGGGATTTGTTGGCGACTTTTCGCCAGCTCCTCGCCAATGAGGGCAAAAGGTGCCCATTGTGTTAGGGCCCATGAGATTCCCAGCACGGCGATCAGAGATGTCGCAACCCAGCGTGATCGTGTGAGGCCAAGGAGGAGGAAAGAGACGGATGTAAGAATATGAGCTATCACCCAAGCTCGTGGAAGGGTGAGGTTGTAAATACGCTTTTTGCTGGGAGCAGACATCAATGACTGTGCAGAATCTGGGGTCTCCGCATTGATGAAGCGGGGTAGAATCGTATTAGTGATAAAGGCAGTCGTAGCGAATGAAAGCATGGAAATGGTCCCCAGGCGGGTGGCCTCGATTTGGGTTGGCTGGGAAAAACTATAAGATTCTTGGCGGTCTATATTTTGGTCAGCAAATTAAACATGACGAACATGAGGGGTCCAAATGCGGGTTGCATGCGAAAACGTACATAGATCGCCAATGTACCTGGAACATCCAAGTTAGCATTTTGAATGATGGTGCATGGGAAAAGGAGGACTTACGTCGTAATATAATACATGAAAGAAAACCAACTCAGCCATGCAAAGAACTGTACAATACAAATTTTCCAAATACGTTTTGGCATCGCTTCCGCAGCTACCAAAATCTGTTTGAAGGGTCCAAAGATTCCACATTCCCCTCGTCGTTGCAGACCTTCGTTGTGTCCAAGTCTTTTCTCGTGGATAACCAGGCACTGAAGAGTTACAGTAGCAACAAGAGCAATGCAACATACCATGCAAAGTCCTTTGAATTGGGTTTCTCCAAACATCGGCAATAATGATGGTATATCGATAAATCCACTTGCATATCCCAGAATACTACCAAAGCCAATGATTCGGCTGGCATACGCGCTTGCCTGATGCTGCTGATCCGTAGGACAATAGTCCACAATGAGCGCTCTGATGCCACACTGTACAGGCTGCAATGAGATTTTCAGGGCCCATATCGTCATGGCTGCCATGAACTGGGTGGCCGCACTCGCGTTTGCTCCAGTTTCATTCCACCCAAAGCACAAAAACATGGTTCGGATAATTGTTTCGGTCCAGGGGAGAGCCAGCATAAAGATGCTTGTCGTTATGGTTCCGAACACAATGAATGTTCTCCGAGGGCCGAGGAAATAGGTGCAGGAATCGCTCAGAAAACCAATTATAGGTTGTATAAACATCCCAGATATTGGACCGGAGAGCCAGACGAGTGATATCAGCGCTGGGCTCATTCCCAAGGAAGAAAGGTATGGCTATCAAAATGTCAGAAATTGTCTATATCCGCGAGGTGACTTGACTTACAGAGCCTTGAGACATAATCGATGTCCATATTGTTTGTAACCCGCCCATACTGATTGTAAGACAGAAAAGCTGCCATGAATTCAAACATCTTGGTTGGCAATCCTCGTCGTCGCTCAATTGGTCGTCATCATGCTGTGTTGGAAGATTCATGGTGCCGAAATTTGGATAGTTGCGTTCTCTTGAATCCTGATTCCTGGGCCCCAGCAAAGGCTTTGATTCCGAGTTATAACTTTGGTTGGCAACCATGGTGACTGTGACAACGAATGCAATTCAAGAAAATTTGAGACGACCCCGCATCGAAGAAAGCCGCGAAGAAGGCAAGAAAGATAAGAAAGGTTCGAGTAGTAATGTTCCACGGGGGTGTAGAGATCTGGATCTCTCACTCAAAAGGTCTCATCACACGACTTCCTGTACCACCTCCGTGTACCTTTTAAATACACAAAAGATGAAGGGATTGTTGACGAAGTGAGGATGGTATGAAGAAAAGGATCGTAGAGCATTCAGTACTCGTAGTAGCCCGGGAAGAAAGGGACCCCTCCTCCACTTGCACTTGGCCTGAAGTCTGAGACGTGACATGCGGGAGGCTTTTGCCTGTCTAATTCGGATGCAGGTGCATTTCGGTCCTCGGATAAAGTGTGTGGTGGTTGAAAAGTCCCGTTTTTAATCCGCCTTTAATCCGGGTCTGTCCAATCAACCGAACCAGGGCCGGTTACGGATGCAGATACAAGTGGGATTCGAGGGGAGCGGATGCTGGTGTATGCTGGTGTATGCTGGTGTATGCTGGTGTATGCATGATCTGATCAATTGAGGGAGCTTCAACGTGCGACGGCTCAGTCCGGCCATTGTCGTGCGTTGACAGTATTGAACTTGGCATCGATGGTGCCCACTGACTTGACATGGTGTTGACCGGTTGGTCTCCACTGATTTGACATCGTTGGTCTCCACTGCCGCTGGGGGCAGGAGGAGGTCCATCGAGGTGATTGGGGCCGGGAGACGTTGACGACTCAGAGATACGAGTCGCACCACTGCACGCACCACAGTACGGAGCTACAGTACGCAGTTGCAGACTCCAGTACGGAACTACGCAGTGCCTCCGCACCACTCGTCGATTCTGCGCGCGTACGAGTAAATTTACCTCCGTAGCGTCGACGGGATGGCACTGGCTGTCATTGGCACTGGCACCGGGGCACTAAATACGGGGTATTTACTAGCGTTGCGGAGAAGCTTGCTGTGATGCGATGTGCTGTGCTCCATCTGGTCTCTGCGGTGCTCTCTTCAGAACCAGTCCGGGCTGTGATAAAAGTGTTCTGACCAGGCAACAATGCAGGTGGAAGATTTGAAAAGCACCATGTCGGCCAATGTCACCACTCTGCAGCAGGCTAGCAATAAGCTAGCAGCAAGCAGGGACTTGAAGACCAGGGACTCAGGGCCCACTCTGCAGCAGGCTAGCAATGTTGTGCGTGGGCGGCGGGCCCTGGTAGAGATTTTCCTGGCGGCCGCCGAGAGTGGGATTTGTTTGGTCCTCTGGACAGACTGCAGTCAAGAGGGCCCCGGGGCCATCTTTTAGCCAATCTAATCTCCCTCCCCTCTGGGACTCAGCTACGTAGCTGTCTAGGTTCTGCCTGGTCCTGAGGCCTGGAGAGCTGCAATCCGCCATGGCTAGCTCGCAGCCTAGAAGTATGAAGCTATTTTGGTCATCCGCACAGAGAATGGGAGCCCAGTACTTGGTATTGGCGATGAAAAGGGACGCTGCATACCACTACCGATAATTAAGTTAACCTTACCCAAGCGCGTCCCTACTCGAGTAAGGAATCGTCATCAACAACAACGAAACTACCGGTAGAAAAGACTTCCGTACCTGGTACTTTTCCCAGAGGCACGTGTGCACTTTGCCTCTTTGGGATGGGAACCCGTTAGCGAATTGCTTATTAGGGTTGAGGGGCTCAAGGGTGGACATCCATCCCCGGTTTTTCTCCTCTTCGCCATCTCCATCAAGCTCATCACATTCCACCGTCACCCGCGACGCTACAGCCAGCAGAACCTCCAAGCTCCATCTATTAATGGCGTCGATCACCATCACGGACCATGTTGGTCACCAGCCACGTCTCCCTTCCTGTTGTATCCTGTAGTATTTTCCAGGAATCTGTACATGATCTTCACGCAAAAACGGCAGTCGTGATGCCAAAGTCGACATGAAATCACCTGAAAGCAAGGAGACGATCCTGAGCGGCTGGTAAAGACGGGAACGTCTCCGATCACTCATTTGCTGCGAGGAGGTTTCTTTCCGTCCGAGGCCTGGCCAATCATGTCCCGATGAGGTACTCTCATTACCATTTTATTTTTGGTTTCAGAGTCCTCGCTTGCTGCTCTCAAATTGCGGCAACACCAAAAGGATCGAGTGACCTAGGATTCTCCTTCATATAGTTCACAATAATGTAGTTCTTCGGTATTCAAAGCCGGAAAAAGGGGGGCGCGGCATGTTATCATCCCACTTTAACACTCGAAACTCTGCCCTACATATGTTCCTACCGTTCAATAACCAAATCACTGCCATCAACCCATGCTCACGCCCCTTCAGCTGTCACGATCCTGGTAGCCATGAGCTGGAGAAGGATCTGCCTTACTCGAAACCCCGTGGCTGGTAGGGATATACAGTATACTACATTGCCGTACCGAGTGGTCAAACAGCTTCAAGAGTAAGACGTATCGGCTCTAGTATATGACATTTACTCAATATCTTCTCACTATGATTAGCTCTGGCTTGTTAATATATGGAGAGCCCAATTCAGGAACACAATGGTCTAAAAACTGTCCGAAATATCTTGGATCTGATGAAATCTGCAGAGCAACGCGAGCACCAGGGGACGTATTGAGCGGTCTATGATGAACCTGGTGGCTATGGACAATAAAGTTGATAGCAACGTCCAAAGAGAAGCCATTCCAACCTAATTTAGACGCCACATTTTGGAACGTTTTCTCCAGCCGTCCAGCCCTCATGCAGAGCCGTCCGTCAACTTGCATAAGCGAACGGGGAACGAACATTCTAAAGGAATGGCAGAGTACCATTTACCTATCCCCTGTGTTAGTCTGAACATCAGAAGAAGTTCGACTACTACATTGAGGGGCAAATATTGAAACAGGAAGAACTTTGCTCTTTAAAATGTTAAAAATAGCAGTTTCGTGTCATTTAAATACAGGTTGTACGACATAAGCCACGAGGGTGTAAGACCACCTTGCCAGACGGCGTAACATTTTAGCTGAATGTTCTGCATGATCAGAGCTCGGTACATGAACGCCAACTGCTGTAAGCACTATAATCCTCAGCAAACCATTTTTTTCTTGACTCCAGTATCACTTAAGAGAAGGCAATATCTCCGACCAATCTATTACTTACAAAAAGGGTTCAGCAAGAGGACCTGTGCTTGTCCTAACGAAAACTCCGAAACCATGGATACAGAAACTCAAGCCTGTGATCAATGTTACCGCACCAAACAAGTCTGCTCGAAAAGCTTGCCTCGATGCCAGCGCTGCATGAATAATTCCAATCCGTGCACTTATAGTTTCGGAAAATTTATGGGCAAGCCCAAGAGAAGCAACAAGCTCAGACGGCAAAGTTCCAATATTGAGAATGAGCGGACTGAAAGTGGCAGTGGAGGCAAGTTTTTTGGTTTGCTGAATCTCAAACATGGTATGTGGTGAAAGAGTGGCGTTTTGAAAAATATATGCTAATAGAGACATGCAGAATTACCCGAAAATCAGATGCCATCACCAGTGACAGGTAAGTAACTATTCCACTACAAACCCTTGATATAGAAGCAAAGCTCACATTTCTCAGATGGAACTCCAAGTCCCGGTCTCTGGTCACCATCTTGGGATCAGATCCCAGAAGGAGTATCATCAGAAACTTCTTCGACTTCATGCTCAGCATCACCAATTCGAGTACGAACTCACAGCATCGTGAGTGGAAACAGGATGATGGCAACCCCAGCATGCGACCAGTGCTATCGATTCAAAGTCAAATGTAGTCGAGATCCCGACTGTTGCAGGCGATGTGCCAACAACCGAAGTGTTTGTACTTATAGTGCAGCATCTGGGAAGCCTGAATCCAAAGCCAGCAAGGCCATGGGAGAACATCGAAAGAACAGAATACGACAGTCGCCGGCACAAGAAGATATCCCTAGCAACTTTCAAGATTTTGCAATGACGGGCAGTGACTCGAAATCCACTTCTTACACAGACTCGCCCATGTCCCATCAAGCAGAGATCTACAACGATGGCATGAACGATATCTATGGTCAGTACCAGCTCTAGACTATAATGGATCCCACTAACATTCTTCAGAAAATTTCAACGTCCCTGTCGACTCCTCTTACGGGTTCACCAACCCTCCACTAGATGGAACCATCCCCGCACCCAACAACTGGGCCAGCAACCCCCCCAACTTCTTTGGTCTAGACACCAGGGGACTCGGAACCAGTTCCGAACCCTTCCCCACCCACTGGCAAACCTCAGAAGCCCATCCAAACCCCCTCCTCACCACCCACCCCGTCCCCTCGCAGAAATTCCACCTCGACAGCCCAACCCTCGGAGCCCTTCCCCATCCCAACACCCCAGAATTCACAAAGACACCCCCCCGCCAACCCATCTGCGACTGTTTCCAAACCGCCCTCTCAATCCTCGGAGCCCTGCACAGCTGTATCCAAGTAACCCTCACCCAACAACACCAACCACCCCCCTTCCCACAAGAATACCCACCACACCCCCCCTCCCTTCTCCACACCACCACCCACGCCCTCTCAATCTGCGAGCGCAGCACACTCTGCACCTCCTTCCACCCCCCCATGACCTGCATGCTCTACGCGGTCATCCTCCAGCAGGTCTCCAACTGCTTCTTGCTCTTGTCGGGTCCGGAGATGGATATGCAGGACCAGACGTGGGAGGGCGTGGTGCGGAGTGAACGCGTGATGGGGGATGGGGTGTGTAGGGAGTTGGAGAGGAGGGTGAGGGGGGGCTTTGAGGAGATGGGGGGGAGGAGTGAGGTGTTGGAACGGAATGGGGTGTTGGGGGTGTTGGCGGGGGTGAGGGGGAGGTTTG